GTACGCAGGTGTCCGTACGCGCGTGCGTAATATTTGAATGCGCATGCTGTTGTGTATGCGTATATGTGTCGTGTGCGGTTGTGTCGCGCGCATGTCTCAACGTGCGTGTGTTGTGTGCAGTGCGCGTGTGGGTGTCTTTGCATTTCTTTGGGGTGTGCATTATTGTGTTTGACAGTCTTGCGGTGTTCGTGTGCTGGTGGTGTTGCACATGCGGGTGGTTGTGTGTATGAGTGCGGATGTGTGTTATGCGTTGGTGATTTTTCCTGAAAGGGGATTGCTATGTGACTTCATGGGCGTGTGGGTGGCGTTGCCCTTGTGTAAATGCACGTGTTTCCGTGATCGTATGACTGTGAAGCTGTATTTTTGTGTATGCGCGATTTCATGTGCGTGTGTGTGTGTGTGTGTGCGCTATGCGTGTGTGTGTGTGGGTGTTGTGCGTGGTTGTGAGGCTTCTGGGTTTGCGTGAGTATGTACTTATGTATGTCAAAGTCGCACCTCCTCGGGGTGCAGATGCTGCCACATGTGGGTGCATAGCTGGCCGCGCTCCTGTATCTCTGGTGGCTCCTCAGGGTGCTTGCAATAGGGGCTCCCGACCTGCGCTGTGACTCGCCGGGCCCGTGTGCGGGGCTCGGGCCGCCCTCGCCGCCCGCTGGGCCCCGCGCGCGCGGCCCCGCCCGGTGAGGGCGACGTTGTCGTCGTTGTCGTTGTCGTTGTTGTCGTTGTCCTTCCTCCTCCCTCGTCGTCGCCTTCGTTGGCGTCGTCGTCGTCGTCTTCGTCGTCGTCGGCGTCGGCGTCGTTGTCGTCGTCGAAGTCGTCGGAGACGTCGTCGGTGTCGTCGTCGTCGTTGGGCTCGGCCCGCCCCTTGCGCGAGGCTCCTGCGCGGCCTCTGCCGCCGCCGCGCACGGGGCCAACGTTATGTTCGCAGGTCGGTCGGCTCTCGGCTGCGTCGCCGTCGGCGGAGCTGGGGCGGCTCGGTGCGGTTCGGTTCTTCTGTCCCTGCCGCACCGCTGCGCCCTTCCAGGCCAGCTCTGCGGGCAATGTCTTTATCCACATCCAGTGCGTCTTGGAGTTTCGGGCACTCTTCCCAAGAAACATGAGGCGCCCTGGATATGGATTATAATCTGCCTCCAAAAGGCTCAATGTTTATCCATATCCAGTGCGCCTCGGCCTTGCGGCGCCCCTTCCAAGAAAGTCCAAGACGCACTGGATATGGATATAAATATTGCCCGCAAGCTCTGCGGCTTAACGGCGTCGGTCGGTTTCAGGTCTGTTGTCGGGCCGGTCGGTGTTCGATGTTGCGATCGCAGTGGCGGCCTTGCGGGTCCTGCCCATTTGAGGCCCCTCCAATGGGAACACGCCCGCTGGCCGTGGGGACGTGGGCTCAGTTGTCCCCGTGCGCGGGGGCTCTGCACGATCGCCATCGCCGCCTCCCACGGGGCCCCGCCCGACGGGGAGTGCCAACCACAGGGGCCTTCCGAGTCGGCACCACCATTGGGGATCCCTGGCGCAGTTGCCCCGTGCGCGGTTCTGCGCGATCACCGTCGTCGTCGCCCAGAAGATCAGCCCCACTGCCTTGCGCATACAGAGCCAGCCTTGGTTGCCTGCAGTGCGCCTTGAGCTGTGGCAGGTCCATGCGCCAGCATCATGGCGCGTATGGTGTGTTTTTTGCATGCGTTGGGCCTCCGCGTTGGTACTTGTGTATGCTGCTTCATTGTATGTTTGTGTGTATGCGCCCTTGCTTAGGCTGCGGTCGTAGTGCGCGTTCGCCACCGCTGCGACTAAAAACAATGTTTTCTTCTGTTTGTTCGTGCGTGCGTGTGTGTGTATAAGTTCGGTGCGGGCGTGTCTGTTTGTGTGCACCTGTGCGTAAGTGCGTGTGTGATCACTGTGTAACAACAGTGCAAGAGGGGAGCTCTGTGTTCGAAATATGTCGTTCCTGAGCGGGTACTATCTACATTGTTCCCCACTGTGAACCGTTAGGCCGGGAGCACCCGCCCTACGTTAGCAAAAGCGTGCATTGGTGTTTGTTTTTGGTTGGTTGGTGTGCGTGTGTGTTGGTATGCGTTGGTGTGTCTTGGCTTAGGTGCGTACGTGTGTGTGTGTGCATCTAGGAATTGCTGATGTACGTTTGATTGGAGGTATACGTTCTGCTACGGGTCCTGATGTTTTACGTGCGGCTGTGAGTGGTGCTCTACGCACGTGCTGTATGAGTGGTTTTGCTAGCGTTCCCCGTGGCCAGCCTGGGGCCCAGCGCCCGTCGCTGCATGCGTCCTGAAGCAATGGCCGCTTCTCTAAGCAAAAATGTGCGTATTCGTACGCCAGTGCGTGGGTTGTTTCGTTGCCTGCCGCTTACCTTGTTTCGTGCTGCGTGCTTCGATTCGAACGCATTCATCAGTTCGTTTACAATGCATGTGGACTCGCTCTGCTTGCCGATTACGTGCTCGTGACCCACAGCGTCGGGGGAGGTCCAAGCGTCTGTGCGTGTGCGTGTGTGCGTGTGCGATTGTTTGTGGGTGAGAGCGTGTGTGTGTGTGTGTGATTGCGCGTGTGTGTGTGTGTGTGTGTTTGCGTGCGCGCATGTGTGCGTGTGCGCCTGCGTGTGTCTGCGTGTGTGTGTGTGTGTGTGTATGTGTTTGCGCGGGTGCGCGAACGTGTTTATGCGTGCGCGCGTGTGTGTGTGTGTGTGTGTGCGTGCGTGCGTGCGTGCGTGCGTGCGTGCGTGCGTGCGTGCGTGCGTGCGTGCGTGCGTGTGTGCGCGTGTGTGTATGTGCGCGTGTGCGTGTGTGTGCGTGTGTGTGTGTGCCTGTGTCTGTGTGCGTGTCTGTCGGCGTGTGTGTGTGTGTGTGTATGTGTCTGTGTGTTTCTGTGGTTGAGTATCTGTGTGTGTCTGTGTGTTTCTGTGTGTGTGGGCGTCTGTGCGTGTAACGTCCATCTCGCCCGCATCCTGAGCCGCACAGTCCGCCCCTCGCACGGGATTTCGCCGCACAATTGGCGATGCCGCTGCCCAGCCTGCCCCCGGCGCGCGTGCGGACTGCCCCTGCCGCGCGTGCGCGGCGCAACAAGTGTGCGTGTGCTTCACCACCCACCAAACCACCCCAACCCAACCCGAAGGCTCAAATGTACCGTCGATTTCCAGTGGGGGGGGGGTCGGGGAACATCGACAAAAACACGCGTGGAGCCCTTACCCCCCCCAACCCGAAATGCGGGTCTTCGGGTTGGGTTGGGGTGGTCTGGTAGGTAGTCAGTGCTTGTGCGCGTGCGTGTGCTTGCGAGTCTTCGGCATCTGCTGGTTTTGCTCTCGGGGGCCCCAGCGCCTCCCCCTTCTCCCCCCCTTCCCGGTTCGCTGGGTGCGACGCGCGTCGAATCGACTAGACGTAAGAGTGACCTTTCGCCGGAGTGACCTTCGGTGCGGGCACAAATGGGGTTCCCCGATCGCCGAACGCGATGCGATCGTGGCGCCCTGCGCGCCTGTGTTTGGTCCCCCCGCGGCCCCCCAAAAGCCGCGCACCAAAGGGTCACTCTTGCGTGTAGCCGAGTCGAAGGAGGGCTCCACCGAGGCCACGGCGGCCCTCCCTGGCTTTGCTGCGGGGTCCACTTGCGGGGTCCTTTTGATGTATGCCTCCCGGAGGCTTCTCAATCGGTTTGGAGCGAACTTATCTCGATCGGTCTGGGGTCCGGGGACTTTCGGGGGCGGAAAAGAGGGGGGTGATGACTAGGGGGGGGTAGATATCATGGCGGGGGCCATGGTATTTCCCCAGATTTCATGGCGCCACTTCTTATTCCATTACGTCCCTGGCCCCCCCGCTGGGCCGCGCACATGCCGCCCGTCATGATTTGCACCCCTCCCGCTTGGACACCCCCCTTTTGGCCGCTCCCGAGACTTGACCTTCCCCCGAGACTGAGATTGTGCCTTCGCTCTTTTACCGTTCCGTGCTCGTCTTGCTCCCCTTTCCAGCTGCCTGTCACACTCGCCAGCGTTTGCCCCAGCCTGGCATGCCACAGCCTGCACTCGAGCGCAAGTCGTCGCACATCGAGCAGCTCATGCTCCGCGTCCACGCAGCTTTCCCCTTCGTGCGGCGCATCTTCTGCGGGGCGAACAGTGCTCATGCGTCCGTTTGGACACGCCCGCATACTCATTAAAAACGCGCGCGCGATCGTGCGTGCAAGGCGTGCGTGTGCCGTGTGGCGTGTGTTGATCTAGCTTGTACGTGCGTGTACGCAGTTGTGTGTGTCGCATTTTGCGCGTGCTGCGTGCTGTGTCCTGGCGTGTGCTCCGTACCGCTATGTTGTCAATATGTAATGTTGCAATGATGATGTGTTGGGGCGTCGCCGTGCTGTTGCTTTGTGATGTTGCCGCGGTGCAGCTTCTCCTTGATTTTGTGTTGCTGTGGCACCGCAGTGCAGGGTTGCCGTGTCGCAGTGTCGTTGCATCGTGGGGTCGCAAAGGTGTTGCGGTGTTGCGGTGACGCACGCGGTATCGTTATGTGTTGCCGCGATGCATTTCAAATATTGGTTGTTGCGCTACGCTCGTTACGTCTTGTGTATTGTGTGTGGCGTTTGTCACGTGCGCGCCCGCGTGTACGATAGCACGTGGTGTGTTGGTGTGGGTTCGCGTGCGCTTGTTCGCGTGCACGTGGGCGTGCGTGTGAAGCCTGTTCGTGTGAGGGTCTGTGCTTCTAGAGAGTGTAGGCCGGAAGAGACCCTGGGCAAGAGGACCACATTGCCGGCGGCCCTGGCGAAATTTGCGAATTGGAGGCTTCAATCCTTGCATGGTTGGTGAAGTCAGAACGATGAAACAATGAACAGTTTGGGTTCGGATTGGGCTCGTTGTTCCTTGAGTCCTTCCATGGTTATTCCTCTAGCGCTCCTGGTGCACCCAGGCGCTTTTGGGAACAGACAGAGCTTCGTTCCTTACGATTCGTTATTTATGATACAGTTTTGATTGTACTATGGTCATTGTTGTTGGGCTGGCAGCCTTGCAGTCCGACCGTTGCCGCCAGGCATGACAATTGGCGAGCTGGTGACTTTAGATGCGATCTTGAAGCCCACGTACGCGAATTTCCTGTGCAACGGCCACTCGCAGAGAGAAGCGGGATTCCTTTTCATGGATTGGCTCAGCAACATCAAGAAAGCACCGATCCCCAAGAGCGTCGAAATGTTCGACCTTGAGTTCCTCGACCTCCTCATAAATTGGTTGCTTGTAGTCGACGACAAGGTGAGGAAGACGCTCGCGCAGAGCCTCGATAGCCCCTTCATAGAGGCCGCCGCACCGCAGAAAGGCTGCGGGAGTCTAAAGTTCAAATCTGGCGGCTCATACCTATCAAGTGCAGACGACGCAAACTCTTGAAGCAGATGCAGCGCGGAGGGAGTCGGGTGGGAAGAAGGGAGGAGCAAGAGGAGGGGCCCGCGGAGGAGGCTAGAGTAGGAAAGCCAAGCTAGGTGCGTTCGCGCAATATCTGACATCCGATCCCCCTCTCTTCCATCCCTTCCCATTGCGCTGAGTGTTCCTCGATCCGTGGACGCGTGTCGTAACCGGCCTGGAACTCAACAGTGAGGCCTGTGAGACCTACGACACCTGTGGGACCTGGGGGAACTGTGGGACCCGTGAGACGTGACCTGCGAGACCTGTGGGACCTGTGGCACCGGCGTGACCTGTGGGACCTGTGGGACCTCTGTGGGACCTGTGAGACATGCGACACCTGTGGGACCTGTGGGACTTGCGGAACCTGTCGGACTTGATGCGAGACTGGCGACATTTTTGGGACCTGCGGGACCTGTGGAAAATGTGGTAGGGACTTGTGGGACGACCTGCGACACCTGTGTGTCCTGTGGGACCTGCGGGGCCTGCGGGACCTGCGAGACCTGTTGGACCTGCGAGACCTGTAGGGTCCAGAAAAGTTGCCCACGCTGGGGCGGGAGTGCCATCCTGAACGACGAGAGCACAGAACCGATCCGAAGATGAGGCCCACGCTGCAGCGAGAGCACCATTATTCGAAAACAGAAAACACTAGGATTGTAACGCATCATATGAAAGCTAGTTCGACCAAATCTTGTGCGTAGAAAGCAGGACGCGGAGGGGGGCGGGAGATCTGCCCGACAAATTCAGGGGAGAGAAGAGAGTAGTATTCAGATTGTGCAAGTGTTGAGGACGAGGAGGAAGGAGCCGGAGCAGGGGACGGAGCAGGACGAGGTATTGGGGAGGAGGGGGAGGAGGAGGAGGAGAAAACGGAGGAGGAGGAGGAGGAGGAAAAGCGCGTGGTCGGAGTAGCAGGGGGAGGCGGGCCAGGCGGACGATGGAGCGCGTCTGCGGGTCAGGGAGAGAAGGCCGAGTAGCCAAGTCCGCGTGCTCGCGAGGGGCCAGGCCCTGGTGCCACCCCCTGGCCCTGGACGAGCTGCGGCGCTGGCACCGGGCCAGTTTCCCGTCTGAGGGCTAAATGAACAAATCAACACCAGCAGCAGCAGCAGCAGTTTTTTCCCACATAGCTTCGTTAATAATTTGCATATCCTGACACTTACACATGTGCGAAGGCTGTCGAACCTGACAGCCAGGCAGTAGAGCATTGGGCGTCGAGGGGGACTCCCCGCATGTAACGCTACCACCACCACAGTTTGTTGGTCTGCGGCGGTGGGAACGTGTGCACCGCGGTCGAAGCGGCTACTCTCAGGCGATCGCAAACATGGATCAAGGGGGCGTAGATCAGCGACGGGTTCCGTTTCCATGGGCAATCGCAGATTCCCGCCGCCGAGCGAGGCGGCACCGGCCGCGTTCTGGGGAGGGCACCTCCCCGGATCCATGGATTTGGCGACCGCGCGTCAAATCCATGGGTCGCCAATCCATGTCTGCGCGCCCCCGATACTGGGCTGCGTCAGCGCGAGCGCGAAACTGCTCATGCACACAGGAAGTGGGCGCTCAGAGGAGGGGGGGGTCGGTCGCCGCGGAGCACGAGCAGAGCAGACCACGGACAGCTTTGTCCGCGGCGACTGGGGTCCAAAACGCGGTCGGGACAGCCGAGGGACACGTCGGAGCCCAATGGGGCACAACAGGAGCAGGGCATGGCGCGGAGGGGGGAGGAAGCTGCGGGCGGCGGAGCGAGCTCCTAAGAGTGGAGATCTTCTGCGTGTGTGCTGGAGCACAGGTCTGCACGGGCAGCAAGTTGAGAGTGGCAAGAAAAACTCGTGTGCTAGGGTGCGGCATTTTCACGAAATGCCGAGTATCGCAACTCCAAGGCGAAAACAGACCACGAACAAGCAAGATATAGCCAGGCCTCGGCGCCCTCCTGGGGAAACAACAAGGCATCCAGCCCTAGCGACGAGGGCTCTCCAGCAGGAGCAGCCGTATCGGTACCTGTTCCTCCCCTGATGCCCGCACTTTGCCGGCACGGGCAGGAGGCGCGCTCCGCTCCCGCGCGGCATTCCACTCCATCGGCCAGAGGACCACGAGCGCGGCACTTGGCCCCAGCTACGGTCGGAAATTCTCGCTTAGCGTGCGGTGGGGGCGTTCGTCCAGGAATGTGCCCAGGAGGCTGCAGACCCTGTAGGATTCCTTATCTGACGAGGGCGGCGGTGATATCCATAGCATAGCCGATCCACGATTAGAGTTTCACCGGCTTCCAATCCCTGGGTTCCTTGTCTAAGGATTCCTCATCCAATGCCCCACCGTATCGCGCCGCTGGTTCTGGCCCACCACGCCTCGGCGCGACACTATCCACGCCGCGGCCCCAAGGCGTCAATGTCCCCAGCCTTCCCCAGCATCCCGCCTTCGCGGAGCTGAGCGACACGCTATCAGCTCGCATGGGGCCGCCGCCACAGCACGCTACGCAAGAGTTCGCGACCTTTGCGATAGGCTCTTGCCCGTGTCGTGTCGACGCGATGGCGGCCCGGGCGCGGGCGACCGTGGCTTAGTGCCGCCAGTGGCCCAGAATCTGCCAATGTCTCAAGCGACCCCCCTGCGCGACCAGAAGGTTGCAACCGTTCGAGGTTGAGCAGCGACCCACGCGGTGCCAGAAGCCACCACGCACATCGACACGGCGAGGGCCTGTCGTGTGGCTGCTTTTCTCCAATTCGGCTTGCCTAAGGGGTTCTTCCTTGCTTTAAAGGTTGGTGTCCCGGGACCCTACTTTGCCCGTTGCCCGGAGATTCCTCGGGTTCCTCAGGTTCCTGCGCCAGCACTCAAAGCTCACTGAGGATTTCAGTTGCGCGGGCACGCTGGGTTCATTTCGTCGAGCTCGCTCCGGGCTCATTTTCAAAAAATACTATCCTAATTAGGGTCGCGCCAGGTTCATTGTTCAGTTGGAGTCAGGCGCAGGACAAGTTACGCGTAACACTGTCGATGAGAGAGGGCTCAGAGCAGGTTCGAACCACGCCAAGGAATGACATGGACTGTCGGACTGCCACAGGTTACGGCATTGCGCTGCAGTGCGTTTGGAATTGAAGTGTCTTGTGATGCCGTGCGCAACCAAGTCTGGCATGGGATTCCTCTGAGTGCTTTGCTTTATTGCGAAGGCCTTACGGCCGGTGCCGCCGACCCTGAGAACGACGAAGGTGGAAACGAGGGGGGGGCAGGGGGAGGAGGATGAGTGGGAGGTGGAGGAAGGGTGGAGGAGGTGGATGAGGGAGGAGGACGGGGGGAGAAGGATGTGGAGGCGAAGCAAGAGGAGGAGAAGGAGGCAGAGGAGAGCAGGAGGAGGGGGAGCAGAGGGGGGGAGGGAGGAGGAGGAGGAGGAGGAAGAAGAAGAGGAGGAGGCCAGAGGCTTTCTTGGGACAGCCTGGGGCTCTCTTGAGGCCGTCTTGGGCCGTCCAGGGCTCCTCTTGCGCCGTCTCGAGGCACTCTTGGAGGCCTCCTGGGCAATTTGGGGCTCTCCTGGGCTGTCTTGGGGCAGTTTGGGGGCCCCTTGGGAGCCTCTTGAGGCCTCTTGGGGCTTATTCGGGGCCTCTTGGGGGCCTCTTGGGGCTGAGAGCTCGAAATGTCCGTTCGGGTCCCCTGTCTGGGCACTCTCCTGGAGCCGTCTTGGGGGCCGTCGTGGAGGAGCCTTGGGCCGTCTTGGGGCTCTCGTCGGCCGTCTCGGGGCGATCTTGGGGGCCTGTTGGGCCGTCTTGGCGCGTCGGGAAGCGGAAGAGGCAAGAACGCCAAAATCTATCAAAAACGTGTGAGAAATCCATGAATTTTGCCTCTTGGGGCTCTCGTGGGAAGGCTTCTGGAGGTCTCTTGGGGCGCTTTGCAGGCCTCTTGGGCCGGAGGCCGTCAAGGCGCCTTGGACAGATCGTTCGGCGATTCGGGATTCTCTTGGACTGTCTTTGGGGCCTCTTGGGGCACTCTTGGCCCGTCTTGGAGCTTTTTGGGGCTCTGGGACTCCCCGGGGGGGCGTCGTATCTGACCCCCCCCCCGGGACCCTCCCCCGGGACCCCCCCCTGGGGACCCCCCCCCGCGGGGGAGGGATCGAAGGGAAGCGGCTTCCCTTCGACTCAATTACGACGTTGCTCAATTTCGCTTTGGCTGGCGCGCTGAGGAGGTCCCTGGGAAAGGGGGGAGCTTCGACGAACCCAGGGAAAGGGGGAGGCAGGGAAAGGGGACGACAGAGACGACTACCAACGAATAACGGAGATGACGACTTGAACGGACAAGCCCCTCACACACGCCGACAGGGTCGGCGGATTATGCGTTGCGTGCTGGCGTTGCACTGCTATAATTTGATGTGTGTCACGTTTCTTATCGCTGCTTCGTCACATTGCTTTGTTTTGGAGTGCGAGTGGAATTAGGAAGGCTTGGATTGGAGCGCAGCGCAGTACAATCCATGGCATCGTAAGTGTGTTTATCTCTGTTGCGTAGCATTGCGGTGAAATCGGCGCGCAGCGTGAAACAGTGCGCTGCAGACCAAGTCCAATGCGACACGATTCAAAGCAATGCAGAGCAACGCAAAGCTTCGCAATCAGAAGGCGGCGCAGTGCAGTGCAGACAGAGTGCGATGTTGCGAAAGGCATGGACGCTGCAGAGCAATGCACCCGCCACGATGGACATCCTCCCAACGTGCCTTGTCGACGAGCCCTGTGCTTAAGCAGCTTGGGCTTCGTGCTCGAGCCGGGATCCAGCGAGAAACCCGAGCTGCTCAGACATCCGGCTCGCTCCGAGCGCCCCGGGAGGGGGAGAGCAATCACAGACGGGGCTGTGACGTTCGAGTCCCGCTGCTCCTCCCTGACCTCCTCGCCCTCCTCTCCCGCATATTCGCCCTTCCTCCTTGTTCAAGTGGCTTACGCCATTCCGCCGACCCCCCAGAAGGAGCGAGTGTTTGCGACGACCTTGGAAGTTACCCAATGGGTCAGGAGCTTCTTCTTGGATGCACATGAGGGGCTCGTGGGATGCCTCTCAGGGCTCTTAGGGGGCATCTGGAGGGCCTTTGGGGCCTTCTTGGGGGCCTCTTAGGGGCTTCTTGGCGGCCCCCCTGGAGGCTTCTTGGGACCTCTAGTTGGCGCCTCGGAGGCGTCGGCGGGGCTCCCTAGCCCCTCCTCCTCTTACTCCTCCGCCTCCGCCTCCGCCTCCCGGGCTGGGGGGCCCTGGGTGATAAATTGATCAGCGACGTAGAAATAGATGACCAGCGAAGTTTCATTGTGCTCCGACGGCTCTTAGCGATCAGTCGTAACGTTGTTTTGGCGTGTGTGGAGCAAAGAGGCGATCACCTAGCCGCGAGAAGCACCGAGCCAAGAACAGAGCCACGTCTTTGAACCAGCGGAAACTGAGGCTGCTGGAGCACGGACATGCTAGTTTGAAGATCGGCACTCCACTTAAATGTCAGGGGTGCTTCTGTAAGTGTCATGCCCTCACGAGCAAGCTCGAGCATTTTAGACCTCCCTAGTGCCCTGGGTCCGCGGTGTTGGGTCCTGTTGGTCAGATTGGGCCCCTTGCCGTGGATTCGTCTTCTGGAAATTTGCCTGGGGAGCCCGTGTCCGAACACCCTTCGCCTTCAGGGATGCACCCGGCCCGTTCGCTGATAACGTGCCGAAGGATTTTGATTGTAAGCTTAGTGATTGCGTGTATGCAGGATTCTGTGAATCTTACCAAGCCCTGTCGACCTGAGATGGCAGCGACAGGGAGGCAGAATTTGAGCCGACTGAAGAGAGGACTCCCGCCTAAATATGGCATGGAGTTCCCTGGACTGAAGTGGCACGGTGGGGCTGAGCTAGCAGTCAGGGGCCCCATCTAAGGAAAGGTACGAAAAGTGAACTCATCCTCCTCCTCCTCTTCCTCTTCCTCCTCCTCCTCCTCCTCCTCCTCCTCTTCCTGTGCCTCCTGCTCCTCCTGCCCCTCCTCCTCTTCCTGTGACTCCTGCTCCGCCTCCCGCCCGAGCTGTCCCAAAGGGCCAATCAATGACGTATCGAACGACTACTTCGCGTCGCTCGTTCTCGTTCTCGCTCTCGCTCGTTCTCGCCCTCCCCCCTCCCTATCTGTCCCTCCCCCTCCCTTCTTCCCCTCTGGGTACCCCCCATCACGCCCGAGAGTCGAACCACCCGGTTGCGGGGGCGGTGGTCTGGCGAACGCGCGACGGCGAAGCCCGGCGCGGCAACGACGTAGCCCAGCGTATCGTACCTCGTTCGTCGCCTCTCGACCGCAGAAGTGCCCCCTCTGGTACGAGGACAACAGAAAATGGAACCCTTCAATGTTAGACTCCGTGTTCGCCCCCCCTTCCCCTCCCCCCTGATTCAAAGATGGGTCGGGCCTCGCGGAGGCCCTAGGGGGGTCCCTTTTCGTTTCTTCACGCCTGCACTGCCGAAAGCCTGGGACCAGCTCTGACTTGGGGGGGTGGAGTAAAGGGTTTCCCTTCTTTGTCCTGTCCCCGCGCGCGCCTGTGTTTCGCCCGCGGGCTTCGCTCAGGTTGTCTGTTCGGCGCTTCCTGTCTCTGTGGGTGTACATGCATCTTTGTCCATGCACGCGGTCCCCCCCACCCCATCCCCCGCGGACCACGCAGGCAGCCCCCGCACACCCCACCCCGCCCCCTCACAGCCCCCCGCCACCCTGCCCTCGGATCCGGGGGTGCCTCGGCAGCCGCACTGGCCTCCTTCTCCTGCCGCTCCCCCGGCACGGGCCACCGATCCCCCGCGCGGGGAGCCACCGCCGCGGAGCGTGGCGGAGGGAGGAGGAGGAGGAGGAGGAGGAGGAGGAGGAGGAGGAGGAGGAGGAGGAGGAGGAGGAGGAGGGACGGGGCGGAGGAGGAGGAGGAGGAGGAGGAGGAGGAGGAGGAGGAGGAGGAGGAGGAGGAGGAGGAGGAGGAGGAGGGGGGGGGCGGAGGAGGAGGAGGAGGAGGAGGAGGAGGAGAGGAGAGGAGGAGGAGTTGGAGGAGGAGGCGGAGGGAGGAGGAGGAGGAGGAGGAGGAGGAGGAGGAGGAGGAGGAGTTGGAGGAGTTGGAGGAGGAGGAGGAGGAGGAGGAGGAGGAGGAGGAGGAGGAGGAGGGAGGATTGGGAGGAGGCCCGCGCAAGGGGCCCCACGGCCTGCCTCGCTGCCGAGAGCCGGTCGGCCGGTGGTGCGTGGGCGGCAGGGGCGCGAGCCGGGCGTGGGGCGGGGAGGCGCGCCGCTCCCCCCCGTGGGAGCCCTAAAACGACGCGAAGATCGGGACAAAATCGGATCGGGACAACTCGAAATCTCTGAGAATCGGCGGGTTTGGAGGATGTATTGGGCGCCGCGGCCGCTCCAGAGCGTTCCGGAACGCTCTGAGAGCGCTCCGGAACGCTCTGGAGCGATTTATCCCGATCCTAGCCCTGTTTTAGCCCCTGCTGGATTCAGGAGAGGAAAAAACACACAGACACAATGAATCCTCGATTCCCCAGAAAATCTGGGGAAATATGGGAAGTGGGGGGGAAGACAGAACCCCAGAAAATCTGGGAAAGTAGGGGGAATAGGTTTATTTGTGTGTATTCATTTGTGTGTCCTGGGGCCCCTTCATGGGTGTAGGGGGGGGAACAAAAAGTGGCATAAACATAAAAACTCGGAGGTCCGCGCGGATTTCTCCGATCGGCGCTGGACCCCCTCCCTGGCGCGCGGAGCGCGCCAGGGGCGGCGCCGGAGGCGCCGCCGGGGGGCCCCAGCGCCGATCCGAGAAATCCGCGCGGACCTCCGAGTTTTTATGCTTATGTCACTTTTTGTTCCCCTAGGATGGCTCAAAGACGGGGTATTGAGGGATGGGGTCCTCGGGAGAGGCACAGGCCCAAGGATGTCGGAGGCAGCAAAGAGGGGGGTGGTGGCCAGGGGGGGGGGATCTCATGGCGGGGGCCACGATGTCTCCCCAGATGTCATGGCGCCCCTTCTTACTCTATCACGTCCCTGGCCCCCCCGCTGGGCCGCGCACGTGCCGCCAGTCATGATTGGCACCCCCCTCTCTTGGACACCCCTCTTGGCCGCTCCCGAGGATGGATACTCGCCCATAGGACCCCATCCCTCGGGACCCCACGTTTGAGCTGCCAGTCCACGCGGGGGCCCGCGGGAGCCCCTGGCGAGTGCAGGCGGCACCCAGGAGGTGCGCCCCGCTCGGGGGAGCCGCCAGGACCAGGGATTACGTTCAGGCAGACAAGGTGCTGTGGGCGAAGCACGCGGCGCGAAGATCCGTCCCTCGTGTGCCTTTCCCTCCTCGCACGTAGGGGGGGCAGAGGGTCGCCCGTTCCGCTCAGTAGCAGTCTTCTCCAGGCCTCCGTAGCCGTTCTGGCTCGAGATCTTTGGTCCGACCCGGCCTGGCTCAGGAGCATCGCTTCGCCGTGCACGTCGACGTGCAGCGCTCCCGTCCGCACCCACCTTATCAGAAGGATGGCCGCCACGCAGGGTGCGTTCTTTCCTATCAGCGAGCTGTCGACCTACAATCCCAAGTGGACCATCCGCGCCCGGGTCACGTCGAAGTCGCAGACGCGGACTTTCCGCAACGGGGACGGAAAGGTGTTCTCTGTCGATCTGTTGGATGCCGAGGGTGGCGAGATCCGCGCGAGCTTCTTCAACGACGCAGTGACCAAGTTCGGCGACAAGCTTCAGAAGGGCAAATGCTTCACATTCTCGGGCGGCAGCGTGCGGGTTGCAAACCGGCAATACAACCAGTGCAACCACCGCTACGAGCTGTCGTTCGACAAGGCCTGCCAAATCGAAGAGGTCGCTGCAATTTCGGGGAACGCTGTCTGTCCCGAAAATGATGTTGCTTCAATCGATCCCCACCGAAACCTTCAGCGTGTGTTCCCGATGGCGCGCGGTCGCCGAATTGGTCAGCAACTGCCGTTTCTGGTGTCGACAAACAGTTCAACCGTGTTCCATGTAGTCTCGTTCTCTGATGTTGTGCCCTAGTCATTCTTGTTCTGTTCTCGACGGGCTGGCGTGACGTCGTGACGCCTGTGACGTTGGATGCGTCGTCTGTGATGATGTCCCTCTTCACTTACGTCTCTTATGTGATAGCATGTTCACCACTACCACCATATAGTTGGAGACGTTGTAGTATCATCTGAAGTGTGACACGATGCTGTACCATGATATGTGTTGTTCAGACAACGTCATAGTATGAGTTGGTACGTGACGCTGTTGCCAGCTCGGTTCTGTATAGTATAGTATGATATGTTATGCTAGTCTGTTTCGTTGTGATGCGTTGTCGTACTATGATGTGTTCTGTGACGCTGTCCGGACTGGATACGATATGTTCTGACGCGGTGTGGGATGTCAAGCTTGGTTATCTTATGTCGTGATGTGTTGTGCCACCGTCTGTTATGTCATGTTATGTTATGGTATGTTATGTGATGTCATGTTTGTTTGCGGCCCGGCTCTATATAATATGTTATGCTACGGTTTACTAGTATTTGTCGCTATGTTCTGCTACCGTATTATTGTATGTTATGTGATGTTGTGTCATGATCTGATCTGTTCTGTCAACGCGCGGTATGTTATGTCCGATTCTGTTTTGTCATAGTGTGGTATGTCGTCCTCTGTTCTACCATGTTCTGCTCTGGTATGTTCTGTGACGCCCTGTCTTGTCATGTCATTGCTATTTTCTGTTCTGTCATGTTCTGGAAGTGTTCGTGCTCTGTTCTGTCAAATGCGGGCGCGCCGGGCGCGAGGCGGGACACCCGGGATCTTGGGGAGACGGCAATTTGAGGTTTGGCCGCCGCGGTATGCAGGGTGGGGTTGGCCGGGCGCGAGGCGGGACTCCCGGGATTCTCGGGACATGTTGGGGTCTGGCGGCCTCGGCATGCATGGTGGGGGTGGCTGGGGGGGCAAGTTCTTGAAATCTAACAACCCCAACCTGTCGGGTGGGGAAACGTGTACGTTTTTTTGTTCTGCTGTCTGTCCGACGCGTGTTCGACATGGATCTCGATGTTGAATCGCAGGTTCCGCGTCGATTCGTTACGGATTTGACGTGGGTAGCCGAGCGAGGGGACAGGCGAGGTCCCCCGAAGATGCAACATTAGAGGTCGGTGAGGTGGCACAGATCCAGACGCACATCTTCAAGATAACAGGACTTCGTGAGGTACAGTCGAAGACTCTGCCGTGCACGACCGACCTCTGCGGCGTCATCGTGGGCTTCCAGCCAAAATTCGCGTTCACGTCCAAGGCTGGCCAGGAGCTCGTGAAGCGCGAGATCACCGTGGCTGACGACACAGCGACCAGCATGATGGTCACGCTCTGGGGCGACCGCGCGAAGCAGGAGGACTCCACGTTTGCCGGCAACCCGCTGGTCGCGATAAAGGGCGTCCTCGTCAAGGAGTGGAACGGCGGCCGCAGCGGGTCGCTGCTGGAGTCTGGCGACCTCCTCTTCGACGCCCAGCTGCCCGAGGTGCAGAGGGTGAGGCAGTGGTGGTCGGAGGGCGGGTCCAGCAGCGAGGTCAAGGCCCTCTCCGCCTCCGGCCCGGGCGGGCGCGGACCCTCCGGCACCGCGGCGGAGGACCTGGGCGACATGCGGCGCCAGTCCGAGCAGGTGCTCGGAGACCAGGGGAGGGTGTTCTCGGTGGTGGCCCGGCTGTCCCAGGTTCAATCAGGAGGGGAACAAACACACAGACACAATTCATCGTCGATTCCCAGGAAAATATGGGAAAATATGGGAAGTGGGGGGGAAGAAAAAAACTCAGAAAATATGGGAAACTATGGGGAAAATGTTTATTTGTGTGTATTTGTGTCCTGGGGCCCCTTGATTCAAGGCCTCCCACACGGGCTCCGAGCAGATGGGGTCGGGGGCTCGTGCCGCATCGCCGACGCATCGCCGAGGCGACTCGGTGTGTTGCCCGCTGCGCCCCGCGCTAACGTCGCCGAGGCACCGCGGACGTCGCCGAGGCGCCGCCGATGCAGCGGCGATGCGGCGCGGTCCTCGACCCCATCTGCTCGAAGCGCACCTGGGAGCCCTCGCCAGGTTCAGCTGAGGAAGCAGGGGGAGCCGCAGCCCATGACCTACATGGGCTGCCAGGAGCCGAGAGAGGGCAGCGGACTCCCCTGCAACCGCCGCGTCGACGAGAGCGGCTTCTGCGCCGCCTGCAACCGTGCTGGCAGGTGTGCCCCCCGGCTCACGCTCCGCTGCAAGTTCTCCGACTTCGCGGACAGCCCCTGGCTGACTACCTTCCACGAGGCCGCGCAGAAGGTGGTGGGGCTGAGCGCCGAGCAGATCAAGGCGCTGGAGGACGGGGAGGGCCGCGAGGCCGCGGAGGCTGCCATCCGCAGGGCGTACCTCCGGGAGCCCATGCAGCTGACCGTGCGCGCGAAGCTCGACAGCTACAACGGCGAGGCCCGCACCAACGTGACGTGCATCGACGCGCGGCCGCTGTCACTTGGCGAGCGGGGCCGGGCGATGCTTCAGGAGATCAGCCTGATGACATTGAAGGCTTGA